TAAATAAATGACTAAGCAGACCACAACGCACAAACAATTAGGAAAATACAATTACGTCCAAAACTGGGGATTAGGGTAGAAAATAGAGTACAGTAGATTACGTTTAAATTACAATAGCTTTGAAACAGGGTTGTGGCAGTGAATTGTACATCAAACGAAAGCTTATAATCTGTAAAATAAAAAACAAAAATAAATGTTACTGTTTTACGAGTTTGGAAGTAAATGAAATGACGTCCTCAAAAATAGCTTCCTTAGTTGATCAAGGTTTCTTGTTTCTCTGTTCACATCAAGTTTAAATAACCGATTAATATCACTAGTGTTCATGGTCTTCCATATATAAACCTGTACTCGATAAATATTAATCGATAATGTTGAATAAATATTTCCGAGTTACTTAACTAGTCATTCAAATTTACGAATATTGTACCATTATTTGCTTTTTCCTCAATACGTTAATGTTAATAATAGCCATGGAGCTGTGTTGCAATGTTTAAAACGCTCAACTTTCAACTACTATATCGTAAGTTCGAGTTCTGTTTAAGTTTAGGCAACTGGATAGTATCACTATGTTGGGGGTGGCCAAACTAAAACGTGGCATCAATCCTTGAAGTCGCTAACTTCTAGTCTTAGCCATGTTGGTGGATACAGACTACTTGGTTGAGGTCCGCGTGACTATCGTAACGAACGGTTGGAGACTCTGGGTGGCATGGCTCAGATTCGATTACAATGGCGTAGGTGTATACACTCTTTGTCTCCCCTTAAACTATAAGATTAAAATTATTTCATATCTTTCTTTGTACGAACTTATTCTTTCTTTCTGTACTATATCCGTACATTAAATCTTTCCTTTATATATCACACCATTGAATTAACTGCTTCTATGAATCCGGTGTTCGTCTTGCTATGCCAATGAGGTGTGACAACTTTGACCTATGCATGTATTTTCCTGGTCCTACATTGTAACTGACTAAGTATCCCTATCCGTGTAGTTAAAAGCTAAGAATACTAATCTTTATTTCTTGAATAATAATAATAAATGACAACAGTCACACCTTGTTCTAATTTTTGTACACTTAATTTTTATGTTTTACAATTTTGTTGTTTCCCCCCCCAAAAAAAAATAAATTAACTTGGTTTTTAATTGTAACAGTTAGGAATGTAAAATTTTGTCACTATTCTTAGTTTTATTATTAATTATTTTGTAAACAAAAATTAATTTTGAACAACTTATTGATAATTTTCAATCGATCATAACCTCCTCCCTCTCTCTCTCACCTCTCCCCTTATTGATTATATTGAATGTGTTGTTTTCTTTTATATTTCATTAGAATTAATTAGATGTTTTACATTGTATGTAATTCATGTCTAGCTCTTAGTTGAAATATAAATCATTGGCATAAATTGATTGAAAAGGGCAAGAGATAATATAGTTGAGTATCGAAAATTCATATGTTTATTCAGACATAAAAAGATCACATTGGCTGGTAACAAAAATAAAACTATGTTTAATAAAATTTTATTATCACTATTATTATAATTGTTATCATCGTGAAAAAAGAAATAAGTATATATATATATATATATATATATATATATATATATATATATATATATATATATATATATATATATATATATATATATACTCTTGACGTCTTCATTGTCCGAGGCTTCTTTCCAATGTTCTTGGGCTTGTGTGGCCGGAATTATATACCATGCCGAATTGTACAACATCAGAAACAATCCACAGGTTGTCTACCCTGTTTAGCTGTTTCGGAGTATCAAAGACCTTAGTAACGGATAACGGCTCGCGATTCTCCGCAGAATTGTTTAAGCATTTCTGTAGAGCAAACAGAATAACTCATCTTCGTTTTCCACCCTATCATCCGCAATCAAACGGACAAGCAGAACGCTTTATGGACATCTTTAAACGAGCATTACAGAAAGGAGGAGGCGAAGGGACGACTTGACAGGTAATCACAAAATTTTTAACATCCTACAGATCCACCCCAAACCCGAATGTTCCAGACGGCAGGTCTCCTACGGAAGCCATGTTCGGAAGGCGTATTCGAACCGTCTTCAGCGCCATGTTGCCATCCAAATTAGTGGATGAGCGCAGTCACAATCCATGTATCCGGAACTTTAATGTTGGCGACAAAGTTTTCATTAAATCCTATATCGGGAAGAACCGATGGGAGTCGGGAGAAGTTGTACAAAAATTGGGAAGAGTTCTGTATAGAGTTCGAGGAACTTTTAGAACATGTATACGACACACAAATTAAATCCATAAGGACAAAAGAACAATGCAGATTCGAAAAAACCGGCCAAATTTTCCGTTAATCTTAGATACACTAATGCCACACAAGCCCAAGAACATTAAAAAGAAGCCTCGGACAATGAAGACGTCAAGAATAATGGGACGCCGCCGCAACCCACTTGTCAAACTACAAGTAGATCCTAGAAAGAAATTTTATTCGGGGGAGGTATTGAGTCGGCTTTCGGAGAACTTTGACGGAGCCTCCAGAGGCCCAAAAGGAGCCAGAGTCCTAGCCAATCAAAGCATGATGGAGCACTCTAGAATTCCAAAGTGGCGTGCTACTATTGGTCAGTAGCATAATATGTCGTTAACGGATTGGCCGAACTATGATGTTGATTTAACAGACCCTAACATATATAAATACCCATGTTTTCTGTACAAAAACGAACCTTGGAGTAAAGTGTCTCACTCATACTTTGCGTCTTCTCTCTGGTATTCAGGTCGCTGTATAGTTCTAGCGTGCGTGTTATCAGAATAGCTTAGGAAGGAATATAGTGTCCAATCGACATGACTTAACAATTATAATCGTGTACTCATCCTGGGTGGTGAGCAGATAGAGGTAGTCGAGAAGTTCGTGTATCTGGGTAGCTACATAAGTGCTGGTGGGGGTGTGAGTGATGAGATCAATGCACGTATAGTGAAAGCCAGAGCGGCTTATGCCAATCTGGGCCACCTTTGGCGCCTTCGTGATGTTAGTCTGGCTGTAAAAGGTCGGATCTACAACGCGTCGGTGAGAGCAGTTCTGCTCTATGCTTGTAAACCCTGGCCTCTCCGAGTTGAGGACGTTAGACGACTCTTTGTGCTCAATCATCATTGTCTCCGAAGGATTGCTAACATCCAGTGGAAACACCATTTTAGTAATGAAGAGGTTCGGCATCGTGTGTTCGGCGCAGAGACGATAATCCAATTGGTGTCACTATCTTGAAACATCGACTTCGGTGGTTTGGACATGTTCTACGAATGTTGTCCCAGAGAACTCCACATCGTGCATTATTTGCCGACTCTGGGACTCGTTGGAAAAAGCAGAGACGTGGTCAGTGTATGACATGGTGTCGTGGTATGAAAGAAAGCTGCAAAGGACTGGCTTCTGTCGGTCCTTCACGACTCCCTGGTTGGAGTCTGAGAGATGGTGCTACACAGTGGCTAGAGACGTTATCAGATATGGCGCAGAATAGAAGCCAGTGGCGATCCTGCTGTAACCTTCTTTTACTTTCTTTGTAAAAAGTGGTTGTTTCTTTCTTAACTGTAGGATTTCTTGTGGCTGTACCTTTTCATTTCCCTCATTATTATTATTATTTTGCCTTACACTAATCTGGTCCCTATTGTTCTCTTTTTTTCTTTTACTCTCCTTACCTTTTTTTTTTCTCTCACCGTTCATTGTTTTGTGTGGCGCATATATATTTGGTGCCCTCTTGTACCAATATTTATGTGTTCAAATAGATAAATAAAATAAATCAGTAACAGCATGAATGGGTTAGTGGTATTATCTCATTAGAGATCAGTATTTCAGTGAACTCATTCAGAGATTTAATATTTCATCAAATTTTGTAACATTGAAACCAATATGTCCTATTTTGAAGCTCTACATATATTGTGGTGTGTGCTACTGATATCGGCAGATATAAGTAGTATGTATCATTGATAGAAAGTGAAATGCATTAAGGCAGAAGGTTAAGAAGTTCAAAGAAAAAAGAACGAGAACAAAAAATGGTTTGTGTGGAAACGAAAGAACAACGAAGTCTGAGACGATTGACATTTTGCAAATGAAGTATTTACTGTATAGTTCTCAGATTTTACTAAGATGTTCTGTAATTTTGTATGCAAATACATTTGATTGTCCCCACTTGTATTCTCGTCCACTACAATATTCTAAAATCATTTCTTGTGATTGATAATTAGTTTAGTAGATTTAACACACAATTGTTTTTAACCTCATTGCCATCCGTTGTTTAATATAATGAAGTACAACCCAACCACACAATGATCAATCAATGTAAATGTTTTCTTCTTGAGTTATTGATTTCGTATCAATGTAATTAAAAATGTGATTATAGAGTTTTCGTATGTCAGTTGTGTAAGCAGTGATGGTATATCAGATAGGAATAAATTAATAGGTAAAGGTTTGTATTTTTTCATAGTTTTCAATATCAGCAGTGGGAAAATACCAAATCTTTACAAATAAACTTCATACTTATTGAACAGGTTAGTAGCTCGTTAGACTTATTAGCTCAGTAGATAGCGTGTGATAGGATCTAAAGTGATAGATGTTGGGTTCGAACTTTTTCTACACTTTCCAAAAATGTAATAAACAGTGTTTACATTTATTCCACAGTATTCATCTTTCTCCGGATTTCACAGTGTTAGGTATTGGTATATTTAATTAAAATTAACCCTTTTTAAAAGTAATGGTTGCTCAGTATTTAAGACATGTAACGTACAATCACTGGGTTACTTGTTCGAATCCCGCACCATCTGACTGGTTGGGTAATATCACTAGCTTTCTCATTAATAGGTGTAGGTCAGTGTCTAATATTCAAGTCTGTACTATGTTACTAAATTATATTAAGGTATCAGATAACGCTTATCAGCTTGTCAGACTTAAAATTATCTCCGTTTTTGATATTCATATTATATTAGCGCATCTGAGATTTAATTTCGTCTATTTTTTGGGGAAAAATGTCAGTTTTACAGGTTACCCGAGATGATGATAAAAATAGAATTCGTAAAGCATATCATGAAATGGCAAGAAAACATCATCCAGATAGACAGAAAACATCTGAGGATAAAATAAAAGCGGAAGAACGCTTCCGTTTAATCAACACTGCCTATGAGGTATGTTTAATAAGTAATTTAAAAAATTATATTCAAACTTTGCTAATCTAAAGAAGTATTGAATTGTTTAAAGGATCTTTGAACTCCAGCGATGTTAAGAGTGAAACAGTTAGAAGCGAGTAATACTTGATGATGTCGCGTTGTGTAACACCGATTATAGTTGAATTTGGGAATATGGCCCATTGAATTCCAACTTCATGGTCTAAAGTCAACATGTTTGCTGCTGCATCTTTGGCCTAAGTTATGGATGTCCACTCCCGAAGAGAGTTAAACCAAAACAAAACAACGTTCTGTTAGTTTCTGTTTTCCCATGGTTCCCTAACTAATATCAATATGTGGCAAGAACAAACTTAAACACTATATGATGATATCGTAGTTTATGCTCTTCGAAAGTCTGTCTCACGATTCTTCCATCATTTTGAAACATCAGAATGTTTACATTTATACCTTCATGAGTACATCTGATTCACTGCAGCCGATTTCGACGCATGATACCTAAAGTCTTCCTCATAGAATACGGTTGTTTCCACTCACAAGTTTCTGACTTCTCGGAATCATGTGATGTATAAAACATATTAAACGGGCTTTAATTAACAAAAGGTTCATATTGTCACTAACTAATTAACCATTTTCATGAAATACCCAAAACCTCATCTCAAATGTACTCACAATAGTGAAATATTCAAAGCATCATTAAATTAATATAATTTACATTCATATTATTTCAACCTAAACCATAAGTAACTTACGGAATCTAATTAATATTTCCCACTTGTTTATTACTAAAATCATTTTTCCCCTATTATTTCAGATTCTTAGTGATCCAGAACAACGAACAGAATACGATTATATGCTTGATAATCCAGATCAAATGTACTATCATTACTATCGGTATTATCGACGTCGTGTTTCGACAAAAGTTGATGTTCGGTTGGTAATTATATCAATTCTTCTTATTATATCATCGATACAAGTAAGTTTTATTATTACTGTTGTATTATAAATGTGTTAGAGATGTGATTATTATGATTATTTGTAAGGGATTTGCATGTTTGCTACCCACCTCCAGCTATTACCTCGATGTGTAGTGGTGGGGCTTGGATATCGTGGTGAATTAATCGAGCTATATTGACTGGAATATTTGTTCCAATAAATCCTACCATCTCAGGTAAGTTGCTTAGAGAGCTGTAGAACTAAAAGCATTAAACTTGTCGTCTAAGGGTCAAGTTGTACTACTGACTGTACAGAGGCGTGACAATAGTACAATGGTCCCTCTAAACAATCATCATCTAGGGTGATACTGTCTTTCCACAACTAAGGGAGCTAGTTAGAAAAGGTTGATCCTAAAAATGGCCGTAAATTCTTAAAAATACACAGGTAACATAAAAGTACTAACAAAAAGTGTGTGCGCGACTGTAACTGTATCTTTATTATCATGACTCACAGTTGTATATATATATATATATATATATATATATATATATATATATATATATATATATATATATATATATATATATATATATAACCGTCTTAATTTCTGATAAGTCTTGCTATTGATTTGCCTAAACTGTCTTCCTAGCCGGTTTTGATAACCCAATTTACTTGTACACAACACCTCGAACAACAGAGAGGATGAGCGGGCTACGAGCAAAAGCTTTACTTAAAGTTAGTTCATATATGGAAAAAATGAGGTATACATGACCCTGGGCTTCTGTAAATCCATAAAACCGTACTAAATATAGTGGCAGTATAGATAAATATTCAATCAAAACCACAACACGTGATTCTACGTTTTCTAGATGTTTCTGCGAAGCTCCTGCTCAACGGCGACTGACTCAAACATTTCTCGTGTTTCTGGGCCTTTAGAGATTTTGACGAAGGATATTTTAGGGCTCTTCCAACAATTCCCACCGTAGTAAATCTGTTATAATGTTCAATAAATCTGACGTAAGTTCCCCATGTTTTCAAATCAAAAGGCAGAACTGCTGACTAAAAGAATATATTTTCTCTTCTAATAAACTAACATGCTTATATGCAAAGTATTTAACACAAGAATTGAAATACCCTTACTTGAGTTCATGGGGTTGAGTTCAAAACAGATTTATTTTTCAACAGATAAAGGTGATAATCTGGTCCAATCAGATAGAACAAATAATGTTAGAAACGCTACTGGTCAATGGTGGAGAAGATTTGTAGCTCAGGTGGATGATTTTGGTAGAGTTTTGTTCTCTGAGCTGGATGGTTTGGTCGTGGAGCTTTCATCGTTCTTCTGAACGACATCATCAGCACAAACTTCAGGTAGAAGTGAAGTGTTTGAATTTCTCCATATGTGTCTCAAAGCTTGTTCTGTGCACCTCGACGTTGATTGGTTCTTATTGACCTTAAATTTGTCGTTGTTTATTTCTTTGTTTTGGTTGTGTCTCCCATTGTTTTGATTTTTGTTCTTATGTTTGTGCATGATTTTTCTGATTGGTTGATAAATTGGATTGATGTCAATATGCTTGTTGATTGCTGATTGACCTGAGTGCCAGGCTTCTAAAAATTCTCTGGTGTTTTTGGAGTTTCCTCTGTCTAAGATTTCCACATTTTTCCAATCGAATGAGTGTCCGCAGTTGTCCACGTGTATTGATATAAGTGAAGAGATATCATGCCGTTTGACTGCTAATTGATGTTCATGTAGGCGAAGGTGAAGGGGGCGTCCGCTTTGTCCGATGTAGTGTTTTTCGCAGTTGGCACAATTTATTTTGTAGATGATGTTTGATTTGTTTTCCTTTGTTATTTCATCTTTTGGCTTGCATAAGATTGATTGTAGTGATTTTGTCGGTTTGTGTGTCACACCTATTCCGAAGGTTTTCAGCATTCTCGTCGCGGTTTCTGATATTCCTTGTATATATGGTAGGATGATCCTTTTGTTGATTTTTGTGCTTGACTTAAGTTCTAATGCTGCGTGCGGTTGGTATTTTTTTGATGAAGTTGATGGGGTATCCGTTCTTCTGAAGTACATCCTTTAGGTATTTCTCTTCATTTCTTCGTGCTGTCAGTGTGCTGCAGTGTGTCCTCGCCCTCTTGAACAAATTGTGTACGCAGTTGATTTTGTGAGCTCTGGGGTTATTGCTATTGTAGTTGAGAATTTGATCCGTATGGGTCGGTTTCCTATATACTTGAGTTTCCAGTTTTCCTGTGTCGGTTCTAGTGATCAATATATCCAAGAATGCTAGTTGGTTGTTTGACTCCTGTTCCATGGTGAACTTGATGTCATCGAAGACGTTGTTGATCAGGTTGTAAGTGTTTTCTAGTTCATTCTTTTTGACGATGACGAAGGTGTCGTCTACGTAGCGAATCCAAATTTTTGGTTTGATCACTGGTAATATAGCGGCTTCTAGTCTTTGCATCACTGCCTCTGCGATTAATCCTGATATTGGTGATCCCATTGGTGTCCCTTTCGTTTGTTCGTAGATTTTGTTGTTGAATTGAAAGTATGTTGTTAGGCATAAATCGATGAGTTCCTGTAGACTTTGAATTTGAAGCTTCGTGTGTTTAGTGAGGTTTGTGTCGTTGTTGAGCAGCAGGGATATCGTTTCTTTTGCTAATTTTGGTTCAATTGAGGTGAATAGTCAATTTCTGAGGAAACAGGCATACACTATTGATTGAAACGTGGTTTAATTTTTTGAGTAAAATGTTTCTATATTTATGAATGATCAAAATGGGACTTGTGGAGAATAGTAATTTAAATTATAAAAATTATGAGTCGATCTAAGCTAGACCAGCATTGGAAACTTGGAAGCACTGGACGACCGTCTCGTCGTAGTATGAGACTACTCAGCACGCGGGACTCGAAACCAGGACCTTCGGCCTCGCGCGCGAACGCTTAACTTCCAGACCATTGAACCGGCATCCGACAGTGTTAATGTCTAACTTTAACCGATTCATGATCTTGAGCAACCCTTCATCCATTGTTTGAGGTGGAGACTGAAGGTCCTGGGTTCGCGTCTCGCATGTGGGGTCGTAGATGTGCACAGCTGAGGAACCCCATACTAGGAAGAAACAGTCGTCCAGTGCTTCCAGGTTTGCAGTGATTGTCTAGATTAGATCGGCTCACGAATTCAACTACTAAAATTTATTGAGTGACTTATGTATAACATTATCGATTCAGTTAACGAATAAACGCTCTTTACTCACTCTTGATTTTCTCATTCAGGTAACTGGTTTTGGAATACATATGTGAAGCGTATATATAAGTATCAGACTCGGACTACCTCACAACATAATAGGAGTAAACACGGTTAACAGTTAATAAATAAATGATTAGAGGTTATAGTAATGATGGATCCTTTACTGTCTATTGTAATGAATGTCTAACTATCAGGGTTAGTTCTTACTCTGTCATATCTATTCGTTCACTGATCATTCCTCTTTTTTCTGAGAAAAAATGCTTACAACTTTGCTGTTTATATTTCTTTTAGTATGCTGGTCAATGGACAAGTTATAATCACGCATTAAGTTATTTACTGAAGGATCCAAAACATCGTGCCAAAGCAAAACAGATAGCTATTGCTGATGGTCGTTTAAATATATCCAAATATGAAGTTGGCAGACGTTTAACACGCGATGAACTGAAAGAACGTGAGGAACAACTACTTCGGGACATATTAAAGGAGACTGTTGAACTTCGGTAAATAAATTGAAAGTGGTTAGTTTTCATTGTATCTAATGCACTTTTGGATGCTTCGCTTTTTCTTTTCTTCTTGTTTCTTGGATTAGTAACGGTTGTTTTGCAGGTGTTTTCTTCTTTTCATGCGTAATACTTATCACTTTTAATGGGTTTCATTATATGTATGTTTGTATTCATATTTAGCACAAATTCCTATCTTTTTTCGTGTTTTTTATTCCCATCATGCACTTGTTGGTAGTAGTTGTATACAAGTGGTCAAGTGAGAGTATTTTGAGAAGGAGAGCGGACTCCCCACCCTTGGCCGTACCAGGACATTTGGCGACAAAGCAATGATACAACCCTGTATCACAACCCATGCGAGTACATTTTCGAGGTCCGCGATGAACAAGAAAGTTTATAAATATTTCCCTTTAGCATCCGAGAAATATATTTGTAATCTGTTGTAATATTACACCAGACAGGCTTGATACGAAATGAAGCTGTCTATTTCTGGATCCATGTTTTTCTATTATTTTTAACCAAATCTATCTGGTGAAGCTAATGAAGGACTTTTACCATTGACTTGATTGAAAATTACAGTTTCTGATAACAATAGTTGGTTTAAGTTTAACCCCACAAATTAACTAACCATTTCCATATATTTCCATCTCAATGATCAACATTCTTGGCTGAAGTACGCGATTTGCATAAAGTAAACTTCATAATAATGATACACTTAACACAGGTAAATTCGATAGAAGATAATGACATTGACTTGATGAAAATAGTGACTATGTAGACAATAGATAATTAAATTTCGAAAACTTAATGTTCAGAATTCCAAGATAAAGATGCTATTATATTTTGGTGAAAGAAAATTAGTGATCTGAATACTTTTAAAAGATATTTTTGAGGAGCAAGTAGACTGATATTGGCAGCTCAACAACTTGTCAGTGCCTTAGATTAAAAATTTTCTGCCTATTATCTGCAACTTTCCAAAAATCCATAAACCAAATATCCTTCTATAGTTTATATTTTTAATAATTAATTTCAGTTTTTCATCAGATAACTCATTAGTTAGCAGAGAAATTAAAGCTTATCACGGACTGAAGAAAAAACATATTAATCTTTGAGAGAGAGCGAGCTGTATTTTAACACTTGTTAAACCTCATATTATTGAGATTTTATTGTGAAATGAAAGTTTGTAGCTTGTTTGCTCTCTTTGAATTGAATGTGGTTTAAATGTGTAGGGTTTTAGCTGTGGCGTCAAGTCGCCGTTGACTATGATCACCCACTACACTGAAACTACTTCACAGGCAAAAAACCAGAAGGCAGTTGACGGTTGTAATAAGATATATTTGTTGGTAATCTCGTGGTATCGAAAAAATACCAAGATCGTGCCAAAGAGTACAAGTGGAACTACTGAGCGTAACCGAGAGCATGCAAGATCACAGTCAACGAAAGAAAGTATGTTTTTAGTACAGTTAAACAAACAAGTACAATAAAACAATCACTGGTACAATTGGTTATAATAATAAGTGTTTCCATTATACCAATTGTGTTCTCTTGATAAAAGTAGGTAGCTTGTTTGCTTTCTTTAAGTTGAATGTGGTTTAAATGTATTAAGATGACAATTAACTGATAAAAGCTTACTAGTTAGTGAAAATAAATAAAAATCTCTTTACACATTTAAACAAATGCATAAAATTCAATATTGTTTTGTATGTAGATATGACGAGTAATTGTTTAATCTCAGAAGGGGTTTGTGGAGATTTTAGAAATTTTCACAGATTGAAATCATGAGTCAGTTGAAGCTAGACCACCATTGAAAACCTGGAAGCACTGGACGGCCGTTTCGTCCTAGTATGGGACTCCTCAGCAGTGCGCATCCACGATCCCGCACCACGCGGGGCTCGAACCCAGGACCTACTGGCTTCGCGCGCGAGCACTTAACCATTAGACCACTGAGCCGGCATCCAACGGTGTTAATGTCTAACTTCAACCAATCCACGAAGTCGCGCCACCGTACACCATTGTCTTCAGTGAGCTGATATCTCACAACAGACCTGGTTGAACTCCACTGGTAACGGCTTCCCACTAGAACTCCAGGAGTATCTCTTGAAGTCAGTCACTAGTGAGCAGATGATTATTATCAGAAGGGTCCAGTACTTCCAGGTTTTCAATGGTGGTCTAGCTTCAACTGACTCATGATTTAAATCTGTGAAAATTGTTTAATCGTTTGAAATGCAAATATCACATGAAATTGACTTCTTTCTTTTTTTTTTATCGTCTGTACTATTCGTTCACATCTTAAGAAGAATTAAATACAACTCAATTTAATTTAGAAAAATCTGACCGTTCATCTAACTGTAGCAATAGTGTATTCCTAAATTATATTTAATTCATTTTTGGAGTCCAATCGATCCTTATAACCAATTTTTTTTTGTTTTGATTTTACACTTTGAACTTTTTCTCTTGTACTCAAGTTGCATTATCGATTGAACCTGAAGGTTATTTAAAATGATTAGAAAATCGAATTTAGCGTTCAATTAATAGATTTATCAATACTCAACTTATATATATATATATATATATATATATATATATATATATATATATATATATAAAGTAATAATGATCATTGATTATTAATCTTATGAAACTTGACCAAATAACATGAATTTAAGTTCATTCAATTATTATCGCCGTAGTAGATATTATCTTCCAGAAAGATTATCAATTAGTCGTAGTCAATTTAAGACCTTAATGCCGTCCAGATGGCCAATATACATGGTCAATATACATGCACGCAGAGGAGTAATGTCCTCAACAGCAATAAAGATCTCCAAATATAAAAAATATACGATCTCAAAGAAGATGAAGTAATGAAAAGAGTGAAAAATGAAATAATACATAATCTAAAGATTAATAAATACTGTCACATCTTTATGTTTTCTTCATGTCACCCAATATATCTAATCATAGATAATGACAACAAGGATGTTTACACCTCATGGCATAGCTCAAGTCAACAGTTAAAGTTCTCATGGATTGCTTCATGTGTCCAATTCTAAGATTTTCTCAACCGTCTATTCATAGTAACACAACACGTCAAAGTATTAAGTGGCTGGGCTTGTGTAACAAATATCCCCTAACTACTTCAGTCAGCGAAAGTTTTTAGTTTCTTCAATCGACTCTGTCCTTTTACGTGTAACTTTAGTAATGCTCACTTACGAATAATATCTCAGAAATACCTATGACCAGTTACTTTAAGTCTACTCATGTTTTCTCTTTTCAAGGCTCGCATTTTATATCACAGCAAATTGCATTGTACATAAAATTTAATAAAAAGATAGGATATGGTTAGGTATAAAATGTTATATTCTTAAGTCTACATTTTTCATTCATAACGTTCAAATGTCCTGGTACGACCGAGAGTGTGGAGAGTTAGCTCTTCCTCTCCAAATTCTCTCACATGGCCAAGCGTGTACAGCCTCTGCCAGGGACGTTCTTCTGAATGCCTTCTCGTAGTTTCATAAATTAGAATTTTATTTTGCAGTGATCCGATTAGGAACCCCTTTAGTTCGACTTTTGTTTTATCCAACACCAGATTAGATGGTACAGAAGATACATACTGTATATTTTAAAGTGTGAATCTGTCGCTCAATGGTTGTTAAGATGATTAGTTTTATTCATTATTCTGATAGCTAGTTTTCTTACCGTTTTGATGAAATGATCCAACGAATTAAAACCTATTAGTTTTCTATCCTAGATCTTCTGATGTTCTAGTCAGTTATTCGTTCCGTTTTTCATTTAATTTTCGATGTTATTTCCTCATCGAAGCTTCAACAGCACGCTTAAGTGACTTGTCAAATTTGACAAACCAAAACTCAAGACTGTCTGTAAAGATGGTACTATAATTACGGAATTATATACGATCTCTACAGTATTTACTAAGCTCGTAGACGGTCATAAAAATGCTTATTAAAATGGATATGTGAAGTCATAACAACATACGTTATGTGACAGCTAATAGCTGTGTCGAGATCATAATGGCAGATGATGTCAAAATGAGAATAAAGAGAATTGAAATATAGAAACTGTTATCATAAAGCAAAATTCGAAAATATCTGTTGCAAGTATTAAGAGGATACAATTAAAATAATAAAGTGAATATTGTCAACGTGTGTCCATACTCACGAATGTTATGGTGACATATACGTCGCACCATATGCTCAAAAGTTATCAGAAATGGAACGGGTTACTGAATATTAATAAGTAGTATAGAGCGATGCACAGAAGGAAGTAGAGTGATAAAACAAACCTAACACTTGATATTTTTATTGGTGAGCACACTTTTCCCCGTTAAATTGGTCACTCAAAGGAGAGTTTCTTTTCTTTTTTATTTTGTATTTCATTTCAGAGGTGACTGTTGTCGACCCAGCCTAAAACGTGTTCTACTGGTTAGAATATTGTTTTTCCCTTGGACTTGTTATATATGGTTACGTTGGATGCTTTATTGGGTTGTAAAGTATTGGATACTTCGTAGGGAATATGATGAAGAGGCACGGATATTTATCACTAGACGTCGGTTAAAAATAAGTGAGAATGAATGGGATTATGCAGGCGAAGAACAACAAGCAAAGTATTTATCACAAAAGCTTTGGATTAATGAGAATTATCAGGTTTGTAGTTTTTCCTAATTCAATGTGCTATTGATTTGTTACCCAAATAAGTCGAATGAGAATTGTTGGTGTACAATATATTGGACGAGTGTACGTTGTGTGTTCGTCATCATAATCAGTGAACCGATAGCTTAGTGGTCGAAACAGTCAGCTTCAAACTAGTAGTTCATAATGAGTCAAACATCGGTACATTTATTCGAGTCAATACACCATATATCAAGACAGATACTAGAGTAGTAGAAGTAGTATCATTATCAGTGGGAATTCGAATAGAAAGAATGAATTGCTGGAATGGAAAAAGAAAACGACAATTCCAAATCTCATGATCCAAGATGGGACAGAAAATGAATACATTTGTGCCTTCGCGATCAATTCTAAACCGTGTCATCTAAAGTCCTCTAATCATTCACCATAATAATTTCTCAGGAATCAATATGATAGTCTTCACCTACCAGCACATTTCAATCTAGTAGTCACTAACTTCATGAACTGATGTCATATCTTGGTTTGGCAGCCCGTAGATCATATACCTGTACCCCACTATTCTCGTGTTTTGTTTTTTATAGACAGACTATATTATTAGTTGTTCGACACATGACATGTGACTAAAAAGCGAGTGTATAGATCTATATTTGGTGAATGATTTATATCTTGTAGGCATTCAGTGTGTTAAGCCCTTACCCTAGTCTCAAGTTTTCTATCCATGTGGAAACATTTATTTTCCTGGATTATTGTCTAGCTCCATATTTTTTTAATCCAATGGCCACTGATCACTGTTCCGATTGAATGGTTCCTAATTTTTTTTGTCAAACAAGAGATGCACTGTGGTTAGTAATCCAAGTGAATAATAGCTGTTGGTGGAGGTTTTTCGGAAGCAACTAATGGGAATTGGGATTCTATAGACATTTTATGTCACTTTTGCAGTGTTCGCGAAAGTAATCATGATGCGCAGAAAGACTAAATTAGACGTGCACACGAAGGTTACTATCTTTTGTACAAAGATAATGTTTTTTGGACAGGCTCTTTTCATCACCCTGATCAACTCGCAGTTGTTAGTCAACAGATAAGAAATATTTAATTCTGACCTGTCAAATGTTTTTTGTCATTATCAAAAACCAAGATGGACTTCTGTGTTAAAATGCCAGAGGAAAGTGTGCGTCCGGTTTTTCATTAATACGAGCATAGTAGGTCAGTTGGCTACTTGTGTTAACAGCTGTGTTTTTCTACTTGTTTTAAGTTCTAGAATAAGTGTCTTTATAGTGAACTAGGTTCTCCTTAGAAGAGTTTATCGATGCGACTGATCCTACTTACTTCTTGACATGTTTCAGTCGTTGATCATTCATTATTTTTAAAACTATTTTATGGTTGACACGCATAATGTTCAGTCTTAGAATGAATAAAAACCATTTAGTGCTAAATTCTATTACTATTCACATATTTTATTTAAACGCATAAACACTGGTACAAACTGCCACCAAAGTGTATATGTACTACACGAAGTTTTTGACATTCAATTTTTGTGTAGTCTGGAATACTGTCCGAGTTGCCGAACCGAAACAAGTGGTTTTCTTAGGAAGCCCACTCCCCGAGCCTTTTACCTAGAGGTCCAATCCTTAAAGCAGTGAAGCAACATTAGGAGATGCAGTCCCATGGAAGCAGGCAACTAACAATAGGTTCATAAGCCATTTTCCCTCCATTTGTTTCGAATCAGCGTTTTCCAACTCCTCTAGGTGGATTCTCTGTGCCCACCAACTCGGCTTAAGCTTGAAACATCCACTTTTCGTTCTTTCAATAGCGTAAACTACACGCCGTCCATAAGAAGGCAGTAAGTAAGTCTTTCCTGGTAGTAGTTGTATATGCGTGGTCATGTTAGAGTATTGTTAGAGGAGGAGCTGACTTTTCTCACCCTCAGTTTTACATAAATACATATTTAAATTCTAAAAAAATAATTTTTTAAATTCATTTCAGAAATTTCTTGCAGATCAACAAGAAGCGAATCGAATTCGAGCAGCTGAAGATACTGATTTAAAACGTTATAGACGATACACAAAACGTGCTGGACCTGCCTCAGTGAATCTTGAAGATCTATTTTAAAATCCCCGCCATTCAAAGTGAATATTAATTGTCCAATGTCCTTGTCGATCCTACCATAGTTCCGTTCTATGTATTATATATATAACGGTAGCCGATCGTTTGTTATTATGTATATCGATAGTACAGTTTTCTTTCGCTAGGTTGTTTTGTGTATACATAAAAGAGCAGTCGGTGATTTTCATTCCATACTCTTCATCATGCTCTCCTTCTTTTCCACAGTTGAAATCTTTTATTACCCTACCCATATTTCGGTTCATGTGATAAAACCATGGAGCTTAATTTTTTTTAAAATTACGTATGACTTGTGAACTCTTTCGTAGGTTTATTTCTTATCATACTTAAGCTCTGTCTCTCACTTTGTCATATATGTGCCTTAAATTTTGATTTACTGTTGGACATTTTCAATCCTACAATTAGTAATTATGGTTTGTATTGTTTAATCAAAGTTTGTATAAATAAATTACTACTTAGCAGATTTATACATTTTCTATTTTTAGTGGAATTTGTTTATTGTCTTTTATGTAGCATGTGCTTCCCATTGTAATTTGTCATGGATTTAAATCAATGTGTTTTGTTGCTTCTCACGATTATTGTCTTATCATTTCAGTGTTATAACTAGTTTGTTTTTTCTTAAATAAATTGATAACTGGGGTTCTGTACTATGCTAGTTATGATGATTCTACAAAGTAACATGAATAATACTAATTCAAATGAGTATTTATAATATAAGATAAGTGAAATCGGTTCTTTAAAATATTATCGATCGAAAAGATTTCTTTGCTGACTTTAGTTAGTGAATTACTTCTGGAATTTGGAGAAAATAAACGTTGACTATATGTTTACAATTCAAGTGATGATTATTTTCAGGCGAATTTTGACTCATTCTCCAAGCACTTGGCTTGAAACTATACTCGATGTATGAAGGCTAGTAATACTATCAAGTTTCCCAAATGAAAGCAAGTAAAGTGAGATTCTAACTTTGGACGAAAGTCGAAAGCTTTAACCATTACTATACCGCTCCACTATTTAGTCAATCCTATGTTGAAAATAGTGACATTAAAGTAGAGATTTAAATTAACCAACCATTATCGAAATAAAACATGGTACAAGTAATACATCAGCTCAAATTGTCAGACCTTGTAACACCATAACACGCGAAAATTTAGAAAAGTGAAGGACACGGGAGATATTTAAACATTTAGTGAACCTGGATTATTCAATTGGAATAACATCATGATCCATTCTACCTCTTAGAAGGTTAATTATGTTCGGAATAGTATTGAGTAACACCGAATTTTTCTGAGCTTCTTTCGAGGTTGTTTGTAAGCTGGGGATTACTTCCATTTTTTTCTAAATAGACAATAACAAATCAGTTCCATATTTTATGAACTTTACTAAGTTCGATCTCTAAATTATCCAACAAATATATGCTAGTCTCTCTGAAGTGCTATGTTGTGGATTACACAATCGGTACAGTCATTGATGTGCGGAGATGCTTTTTGCAACTGTACGAGGTAGTAGCTCATGTCTGATTTATCATTTTGGGAAATATAATTAGTTAAAGCATTATTCTCTCTACTTGTTAGTGATGAATGAAAACAAATTACTAAGAAACAAATTGATTCTTGGTGTTACTGGCAGTGTTGCTGCAATCAAAATACCATGTTTAATAGAAAAACTTCTAGAAATAGGATTTGAAGTTCGTCTAGTTGTTACAGACAATTCACTTAACTTTTTTTCAGTAGACACTGTAAGTGTCCCTGTGTACAAAGACATAGACGAATGGACAAGATGGAAAAAACGTGGTGATCCTGTGTTACATATTGAGGTATGAATTTATGATTATTTGATTCTAATGTCGTTATTATTATAGCTTAGAAATTGGGCAGATATACTACTAGTAGCTCCATTGAGTGCTAATACAATGGCAAAGGTGGCATATGGACTAGCTGATAATCTACTTACAACACTTGTACGTGCATGGTGGTTTCCCAATGAACAAAACATTGTCAATAAACCAGTATATTTTGCTCCTGCTATGAATACTTTAATGTGGCAGCATCCATTTACTCATGAACAAATTGAACGCCTAGTTGGTAGACTTCATTGGAAATGCATAGATCCTGTTCAGAAGACGTTGATTTGTGGAGACACTGGTATTGGGGCAATGGCAGAAGTCAGTGATATTGTGAATTGTTTAAAACAAGAACTAAATAAAAGCTTGTTTTAACTGGATTGTTATAAAATGTCGATAGAATTATATTATAGGAATGATCCTGTGAGAGTCAAGAAAATGACTATCAGGTTTTTTACGCCAAATCTCAAAATGGATGACTTTTGACTTACCTCAAGTAAAATGAACAATTTAATTAGCTTTTTACAGTGCTCAGAAAGTTTAAAGTGGCTAGTGAAAATTTTTGTAGTCAGAGTAAAAGTAATAGTGTCAAACGTATAGAAAACTCACAGATTTACACATAAACTTTGTGATAAATCCAAAAAGAAATTGTTTTGTTAGTGCCTCACCGAATAAAGGGTGACCTAGTGAATCAGGAATGTTGAAATAGATTACGATTTTTACGCATGACTTCATATTGATATGGAGATAAAGATTGTACTCTTATGGTTGTCTCTTCGTAATTCTTCATCGGACTTGTTAATAAAGATTTCATAGGCGATGATTAGTTTTCTAAGAAGTTTGGGGATATAAGAATGATTTAGTAAAAAATCATCATTATGGATAATTTCATACACATAGTTCCCTTTATTATCTTAAATAGAGCAAGAACAAAGATTGGTGCAGAATAATATGAATTCATTTTATTTCGTTAGGTTCTCATCAGCTGCTTACATCCTAAATTATTTGAAATTCAAATTATTACAGATATTGACATATTTATACATAAGAGTGTGAATAAGGATCAATACATGTGTATGATGATTCAGATAGAGTTAATGAGCTCATAAAATGTTTAATTCGAATAAATAAATAAAGTTAGAGAGGGAAAGTTCTGGAACATTGAAATAGTGATTAGAACTCATGAAAATAGATTAATAGTAATAAAGAAAATATGAATTAAAACCAATCATTTATGTATGATGTAATTTAAACTTCAGAAAGAGTTGGAAGATGGGGAATGACGTAATAAATAAATAAATAGGAGTAAATGAATAGAAAGGGTGGGGATTATTGTTACCAGGGTAAAGAAAGATTTATTACTGTCTCTTTTTGTATGCATAGATCTGGTTTTAAACGTTTGATTGCTATCGCTTCAGCGATTTTTAATTGTTAATTACAACGCGTAACTCCACATTCGTTATAGAAACAATAACATAAAATCAGTATATAAAGTCACCAGAATATATGGAACAACAGGAATAGGTAATTAAGATTTTAGAAGAGAGGTTCCACTGTTCACTTTTAGCAACCAAGTGACCATGCTAACATAATCCCATTCATTTTCCATTTATTTGTGCTAACGTTTCGTCTTGTGGATAGTGATAGGAACTTTGGAGAAGACTGGCTAGTCAGGCAGCTAAAGGGGTTTATAACCTATGTATCGTGATAGGAATTTAGTATATATGTTTATTTATTCGAAACGTAGATTATATTACCTGTGATAATTTCATTGATGCTAAAGGTGGGAGCTGAGAAATAAATATAATGGAATAGTTAAATGATTTTGTCGTCTGAGATAATACTTCAGATACAATATACAAGATAATCAACTGTATAGTATGACTGAGGACCCTAGACTACGATACTAGATAATCAAAACACTAGACTAGAGAGATGGTATAGAAATATTCACTATCCATAACCAGCAATTGTAAGCCAGCTAACAGATCAGAACTACAATTTATTGGGATGAAATACGCATCAGTCACAATGTAAAATCCGAATATAATGGAAGTATAATTCTTTTTCATATACAATAATAGTCTGTTTGCTTAGTACTCGTCTGCCTTTACTTAATATCTAATCAAATCTTACTTTTACTACGGAAACATCAAAATACTAATTCACCATTGAGAATGTTGATGTGGAATCCCAATATGTTTATTCAAATGAGACATAGATTTGTTTCACAATTTGGCTGAGTCAGTCTTTCCTTTTAATTTGACTAACTATTAGTCAACTATGCCAAATTAAAATAATCATTTTAACCAATACCTGATGTTTAGTCCAATAGAGTATACATAGGATACCGAAGAATAATGAAGAGATGACGCAACTCAGTGGCTTAAGACATTATCAGAAATAAGTTAGAACAAAAACTAATGGCAATCTTGCTATAGTTCCCTATTACACTCTTCGAAAAAGTAAATCATTTTTTTGATTGAAATTTATCCCTGCTCATTTTCTTTTCAAGAACTGAATTGCTCCTTATGATTTTTCCTTATTCTGATCATATCCACCCTACATCTATCACTTCAAAACCTTATTTCCTTGTTTGTGTAGCGTATATCTATTCTGGTGCTCATTTGTACCAGTGTTTAGATTAGTTTTACGGTAGATAGATCCCAATCGTTTCGAGTGGTCAATCGCACAGCTTAGGTTTCCCCCAATGGGGCTTGATCCCATCTACATTTGACAGAAGCTGTAGACATTCGAATCTACTACTGTTGGCGGGACATAGGCTGGATTAAAGCATGCTCAACGCACAATTGCTTTGGTGCACACTGATTGGCTAATTCTTATCCAATCAGCACTAGTCGGTAGTTGGAGAATACTCTATAATCTTCTCATGTAAAAACTATAAATATACTGACGTTTCTCCGTACTGTGCGTCTTACTTACATCTTACTCCCATCTAACCTTGTTATTTGGAATATAATCTCTTTCCTGTCCAACCGTGTTCTGATTTGGAGACTTGTCGAGTGAATCGGTGTCCGAGAATACTAAACAATGGAAATAGTTGGGTCATAACCGTAAGAAGATTATAACAACTACCCTAGTTTATGTGTTCAGAAGAAATTCGTGACACTCCTGCATTCTTGGGTTGGTTTGAGCTGAGTAAATGATTTTAATAACGTTTTGCCCAGATCCTGTACCTGTTTCTCGTTCGTCACCTTTCGTTTGTATTCTTTATTATCTGATCATTTACAATTTTTATTACATAATCTCAATAACTCTTGTGTGATTATTATTTTAAGATCTATTTAACCAAGTTTGATCTACTTCCTATTTTCAACGATTGGTTAGAAATTTTATTATTCTAGTCACTACTAGTACACCTGTCTTTTAACCATCATCAACCTGTACTTTTCATCTATTACGGATAATTACATGGTCCATTTCATTATGATCATTACCTTAAAAAAAATTTTATCTGATTTCCTCATATACCCCTATAAATATCCAAGTATATTGGAGTAACACCTGATGACGATCTAAATGCGAACAACATTATTCACTTAAATGTGTTGTCCGAATTAAAATGCATAAATATAGAGAGTGGAACGTTATTCAGTAATTAATTAATATCTATTAAGAAAAGTAACCAACTAAATGCTATTTCATCATTGGGTTAGAATTACAATTTGTACACAGTATGTTGTTTAATACGTTCTGTTTTGATGGATAAGTTAGTCGGAACAAATAACGAGGCGTAGTAAAATAGATTATTTGTAAGCACTTTATCAGTGTTTAAAAAAAATTAAAAATAATGTATAAAGTTGTTCACTTTCGCCAAAACGATGCATCAAGGGAGAGTTTCTGTAACATTGTATCAAACCATCCTTTAATTGCTGACATTGGTACAAGAGGATCGGATGTTGAATTATCACGTGCAAAACTAGCAACATAATTAAATAAACTTTCAGCTGCGAATCGAGTGAACTGAGTCATCCTATCAGCAGAAACTGATGGTTCAGAGGTGATTTCTTCTGTTTGTTGTGGCAGATTTGTTAAAAGATCAACAGAAATTCCAATTTGAGCAGGTACAACTCCATTAGAGCATTGGAAAGAGGCACTAGTGCCAAATGGGTGTATAACATTTTGAAGCTGTGCATCTTCAAAACATAAATAAAAATTAGAACTTCAATTTTTACTAGAACGAAACTGGTTAGTCGTTAAAAATTACTAACAACTAATTATCACTGCATAAAATGTGATTAAAGTCACTCACTATCATTTTGTAAAAGTTTCTGCAGATTGAAAACAATTTACAGATTCAAGTATATGTAAGCCCATTAATACAGAGGTGTGGAACAAGTAAATTTGATATGTCGAATTCGATGACTGGTTGGTATCATGTAATACCAAAAAATTTAATCACTCTTATCCAAATGTTACCATTTGATCATGATCATCCTTTTTACTTTACATATTAAACATACTTGCCGATTACAGCTCTTGTTGATTGAAATGAAGATTGCATTTATTGGTGATAAACCACAAATTCTGGAGCGATTGCTATCACTGCAAGAAATACCTGGTGAGATGTTGATTCTGTTGAAGCTTTTCTATTCGAAGATAAAATTAAATACTGTTTATCGACTTTTGCGATTACAAAATTGAGACAATAATAAAAAAAATTTCGAAGGTAATACTTTTTTGTTTTAGATTATTGATGATTGTTTTATCTGTTAATCCGTTCGAAGATGTTAAGAAATGTCCTTTTAGCCAACAATTTTTAATGTAGTTCATATAATATCTTCAACGATAAGCAACGTAGGATACTAAGAAGCTATACCAAAAAGTGTTGACAGACATAATTCTACGGCTACAATAAAGCTTCTTCACTTAGTGTACATGAAAGTATCGTAGATACGGTGAAATTGGAAAATATTAGTAAACAAGTGTCTTCTTGAGAAAAAAACTAGAAGGATGTTTGGAGGAAAAACGTATTTGGCTATATGCCGAAGTAGTATAACATGAGAATCCTAAACTGACTTGCTACAGCAAGAGAAAAAATTCACAGCATGTCGTTTTTATTGGAGCCCTTGTTTAATTTACTCGTCGTCGGTCAGAGTTAAGGATGATGAACGTGATAACTTAAAGTCGACCCTTTGGAGATTGTTCAAGGAATTTATCTAACACAATGAACCTGCAGCTATGTTGTTTGTGCAAGAAATATGCCACATATCTGAAGTAAACTGAGTGATGTAGTTTAGTAGTTGAGATTTTCGAGGAACAATCTTTCGCACTTCAATAGCTTTCAACACTCAGTCATCAATTACGTCCGAATTTGCTATTTTCAGATATTTGTTTAGTTATAATATAATTTATTTAAGACCAGAAACCTAGTCAGGTATAATACTTTAATGACTAATTTGTCAAGTTTATTCGATGAGGATTCTCAAGGATACTATTCTCCACATTGTTCGCGAATGTACATCACATTAATCGTATATAGTACTTTAACGAAATCTAAGTGAAATTATTAGGGCTCTGTCAACCAATTGGTTTACACAATTGACGCGCATTTAATGATAAGTAAATAGACTGATATTCGTTGGAATGAGTTGTAAAGCCAAGTTACATTGCGCTACAATGTGAAAAATCCAACTCTAATCGGTATTCCAGGTAAATGAAATGAAAGGTCAAAAAAGCACACCTTGAAACGTTTTTACCACATGACGCCTGCTACCAACGTAGAAGTAAAAGTATCAAGACAACACAAAGCCAAACTACTTCTAGCAGTGATAAAAGCCAAAAGTCATAGAACAAAATACAAAAGAAATAAAACTAACTTTTAGCAAGTTTGCCAACTTTATATATCGCGCTAGGCTTCTCGTTCGTTAGAACACCAAGAAAGTGCCAGTTAGGGACCCCATTTTGCTGAATCCCCAGATAAACTAGAAAAAACTACTGCAAAAATCATATCGTCTTACCCCCGCCACCCATATTTGGCGGAAAGACAGTTTCTCCTGTTAGAAACACAACAATATGATTTACGTCATTTAAGGGTAGCAAATCCAGAAGAAACTGAGACTCTGATATTATATTAAAACTTGTTTGTACCTAAACTTTGATGTGAATGAAAATTGAACGCACTGGTCTTCCAGCTACCAATACTGCAAACATTACGACTAGAAAAACAAATGGTTCAGATGGTTATGGAAGGAGTAGAAGATTTCGCCTAACGGACTTCCGTGTCTAGTAGCTGTGGATCACCAATACCTCCAGGCAGGAACCTAGGTATATTAAAGACAAAAGAGGAAACAGAAATTGGTAAGCCATAGGAAGATACTATCCTTAGTCCTTAAGAATATGTCGAGTTTTCTCTTGAAGGACTCCTGGTAAGTCGCCTGGACTAGCTCAGTCGGCAGCGAATTCCAGCACTTGATTACTATTAAGGAGTAGAAGTTGTGTTTACAGTCCGTTCTACTGTAGTGTGTCTCCAGGTTCTGGGTATTACCCCTTAGGTTTGTGTTGGAGCTAAACTTAAGTAGGTGTTTAAAAAAATGCTCAGTAGTGTTATGATTACTGTAAGCCATTAGAATAGTAAGGGTTAAGTGATTGGAGCCATTCTTCATAAGGCTTGAATTTGAGTCCCCGAACTGATTTCATGGCTCGCTGCTGGATACGTCCCAGAGTGTCCTTATCCTTTGGAGTGAGGGAAGAAATACTGTGTTTCTGTGCTCTAAATGATGACTAATAAAACTAGTAAAGATTATATCGAAAGTTTTTCCATCAAACTGGCCAAAAAGCGCTTCAGTGTTACTAATGCAAGGCATTTTTATCGCATGTGACGCTAACTGCGGTTGGCGTAAGACTCCAAATCATAGTGTATCAGCACTCCTAAAACCTTTTCAATTTGGAACACTTTTAGAGGGGAGTCGCTAAAGTTGTAGCTGTAGTCTGAAACATGTTTCAGATGGACTACTTTACACATTGAAGTGTTAAAGGTAAGTCCGTTGTCATCTGCCCAACTTTGAAGTCGAGTCAGATCCTCTTGGAGTGTCTGCATACCCTATTGGCTGCATATTTTCCCCCAAAGTTTCACATCATCAGCAAAAAGTAATAAGTCTGACGATACCTGTTGCCGAAGATCGTTTTCAAAAACCAAGGGAAATAGTAGCGCAAGATTCCATACAGTGAGCGCTTTAAGTCCAATATTCTTGGGACTGGAAAGTGCAAACCAGATAGTTCATTTTCATCCGCTTCTTGATCTATCAGCACTATTTCACGACCTTGATGGTGTCCAGTGTGGGTATTTCAAGCACATGACCACACTTAACAAACTCGACAGTCGTGGTGGATTTTAGTTAAAGAACATATTCCAGATATGACAATATGCATTGTTACGAATTATGTACAAAAAAATGATTAACTCAGTAAGACGAGGTGTATGTTAATGAGCAAGGCAAAACAGTAAAAAATAACACTTACAAAAAATGTTATGTTAATTGACAAGTGATAAATGTTATGAAACAAATGTTACTTGCAAACCCTTTTGTAGATAACAACCGAAAATGAATCATTTGATTAACGAAGATCTCTCTTCCACCATGTTTCAGTGGCTTCGTCCACTGATGGAGGTTTGTAGGTACTTGACGTGTTGTAAGACAAATCTTTAATGACATTATGCTATCGCGATGATATACCAGTTGGAACAATTTTGAGACCTGTCTGAAAAAAGTATATAAGATGATAAGACCTCTGTATGTAACAACTGTTTGTAGATTATACGCACACCTAGTATGGTGTGCGGATATTTAAGACGGACTTCTTTTGCAATCGGTTTTTGCTATTAAATTTCAATTGGATCTTTGTAATTGTTGGTACCATATAAAGTCCACATATTTTATTCCAGCTTCTCTATAGACCAATTAATTCATTCTTCTCAAGCGACAAGTGACTTTGTTGATTAAATGCCAATTAACTCGAAATGTCTTCATAAGGTCGTATATATGTTAATTGCTTACCCCATTCATTGAGTGTTTTTAATTTATTTTTACCTGACTATGAATGATCGACAAACGTGGTAGGTAGAAAACCAGGTTCAGCGATAGGGAAGCATATGATTGAAATGAGGCACAAAACTGACATTGTGTGTGTGTGGAAATTGTCAATTACTAATTCTCAAGTTTATTGAAACCTTGGCTATTCGGAAATTTAAACCCCTCTTATGTGTACAAAAACGATTTGTTGTAACCTTGAATTTACCTTGGTAATCCTTAAGTCATTGTATGGCCTTGGATAACGCGAAGATTTCTTATTCTTTCTATATGATGTAAAGTTGTTTGTCTCCTCTTTGTTACTTTTTTACTTGAACTTTCATTTAACTGACCTTATTATTTTCATATAAAATATCCCGACAAGTATATGTTTGACCAGATTGTTCGAAATGTATGGCGCAAATATATCGCATTTTTCAGACCAACTCCTTCTCATTGTTCCATCGAAAGATATGAATAGCGAGTCAGGCTTGGCTGAATTGGGTTGGCTCTCCCGCTTCCTCCCATGTATTTCGGTTTGTTTATCATCTTTTCGATGTCATCTTCTGTCCCGTTCCATCTCGCATCGCTTTCTCCATTTCCCTTCAACTGTCTGTCCGTGAGAAATATACGAAATATATCCGAATTTTATTCTCGTATTTGACTCATTTTACTCCGTTTTTCTCCGACGTATGTGTTGTGTTTTATCGAAATAATGATTCCTTTGTACATGGTGTCTGCTTGATTTAGAATTCCAACTACAATATGTTCGTTCGTACTCATCTAGTACTTCTTGGTTAAGCTGTGCTGTTTCTGGGATTCCCAGTTTGTAGTATAATTCAAATATTCCTAATCATCACAGAATATCTAGTCAATAATTATGTACAAGAGTAGTCAGAATGTACATTTCGATAGCAGTCATCGTACTGTCGAAATGGAGTCAGAAAACGACACCACAATAATGCCATATCAGTATGTGAAAAGAACGAAGATGAGCCAATTGTAACGTATTTTTTCGTCAGGTACGTTCGTACACATAGACGCGATGCATCAGACTCAGATGCTGGTTTTCAGAATGTAAATGTTGATAGTGGTAAACATTCTTCGGAAGAACATGCACCTTCTAACTCTCCACTACAAAACAAATAAAGAAGACGACGTTGATCATTTGCTTGGAATGAATTCATCTTTGAGATTTAAATATTGTCACTCCCAGCCTAAGCTTTGGGTCTATGCAATATATGGTGAGCTAAAAGCTAACCATGCACAACCATCCTTGCACATAAGGATGTGTTTCTGTAGGTCTTACAAGACGACAGTTGTCGTCGAGTGAAAGACTATATTTAAAACAGTTTCTGTTGAGTAGTAAGTCAACGTGTAGCGTTCGACATCTGGTGTCTTAGGAGTTACACAAGCAGCTTACCAAGAGCGATATTGCCAAACTGAGGTAACAGTTGTATCCCAATTGTTGAACGCTCTTTCTAGTTAACTGAGTTTCGACTTGAAAATGTCAACGAAATTTTTCAACGCAAAATTATTCGAAGGAAATGGGAACATATCTGTGGTTTACTATCACCTTCATATACTTTTGGTCATATGAAAACAACTACGACCTGTAATTGATAATCACTCTCATACCACACCTAATTAGAATTTAATCCAAGCGTCAATACAAATGGTAAATGTTAACTAAAAAATCATGCATATCAGTAACTTTTCTGAGTCACAGTTTACATTGGTACATAGTTCTGTTACGGATTATTTTAACAAGAAAATCAGCAACCTAAAGCCTGAAGTTCCATACAATAAGTAGTAGCGACGAGACGTTTGTTTAGTCTTTGGTGAAAGTTCCACATAACTTCACCTTTCGCAAGTAAGTATGTTTTATTTCGTGGAAAATAATGATTTGGTTGCTTGTATATATAACCAGAGAAGCTAATATTCACAGTTCAGTAGGCATTGCTGTCACTTGAAGCAGATATATTACATTTTAAACTGCGAAGGAAGCTACCATCTTCAATGTCAATCTATTTCTAGCATAATCGTAGAAAAAATGGTGAAAATCAGCTGGAATCACAACAAAGAAGACAAAATCATAAACAAAACCTTATAATGTCAACGTTGCTTGTTTCCGTTCTGGTAGCCGTTATCAAAATATTGTTTCTGTGGTCACATACGCTCTAAGCTTGTTATATCATATAAAAACAGATCATTAGTCCAATTTTATTGTGTGGATAAGTTATTTGCTTGAGATGCAGTTATTGAAAAAATCTGTTCTAACAACACCTGAATAATGAATTTTTAACGACTTTATAATGCTATATACCGTGAGATAAAAATATGGCTTCTAACTCAGTTTCTAAATCAGAAAACTGTTCTGAACATTTATTCAGAATTAGCTTTTAATTCGAACATTAGACAAAGTAAAGAAATAAGGAAGAGGCCCAAAAATATGTCGCGATGCGATAGTTTGTTGCCTTCTCCTGCACATGGTGGCAGCAACGGCGTTATGAAAAAGATGAATCTGATAGTTTTACTCAACGTAGTGTGACCTAAAAGAAGGTTATAAAGCTATTGTAATGTTCCATCACGATCCGTGACCAATGGATTAGAAGAACTGTCGACAGTGATAGTGTTTATTTTTAATAACAGCGCCAGAGAGTATTATTAAAACCAAAAAAAAACGTTCGGTTTTTAAAGTTGATACGGAGTAACGCTAGATATCGTATACAAACATTGTAGCGGCCGAACAGCCAATATTCGGTTGGAACAACGGACTGACGAACCCAGAATTTATTTCATTAGACCAGACCACGTTCCTCTGTATAGCTCACAACGCGTTTTTGAGATACTCGTATTATATTATATCAAAACACAAACTCTGTGCTCAATATAAACGGTTCTAATTTAGAAAACAGAACAAAATACCTCAAACGGTACAGCCTGTGCTATACAGTCAGAAGTTTCTCTAACGCAAAGTAGCGCGCTAAACAATGAAAGAGACAGTTATTGCTGAGGGGTTTGATACCTGAGAATCAATAAAAATATGATCAACAAGATCAAATATCTATCCGCAGGGATTCCAGCAATCCTCCCAACCAGACGATGAAGAGGTTATTATTCATACACTGAACCATGCCGTTACCTTGAGTTTAATCAAACACGACCTTACTGTCAATGGTCCGGCAACATGCAATGATAACTTAGGCAACAAAAGATAAATCTTTAATCAAAATCAGATAATAAAGGCTCAAACAAGGAAGACTGAAGAACAAAAGATAAGGTTAAACGAAATCGGAACAAAGGTTAAAATACACAACAAGGAAAAGAAACAAATAAATGACAATAATGTTCAACAAAGAAGCTGCAGGGGGATTTTCATCATTCGCTTTCCGTTACAAACATCATTACATATACTGCTATAAATTAGGGAATAAAGTCTTCACTTTGTCTTCACAAAAAACATTGAATGTTCATGTACACAATCAACTGTGAGTTGATATATCTTAAGTTCTTCAAGTGAATTTATCGAAGGGCTGGAACCAGCAAGTGCCAAGTTATCGGGCAGAAAATCACTCATCTTTAACATAAGAATTGTAAAGTTATAATGTAGATAAACGGAGAAAATGCAAGGGTTAAGAAGCGAAGATAAATTAATTAAACAAACAAATAATTAGGGAGAATTGTTAGAACAGGCAGATAAATTCAGATGATCGTCAGTAGAATGTGTAGGACGGTTTGGTGTTATAAGTGAAGGGAAACGTGACTTGTTTCAATAACAATAACGATAGCTTTGTTGCAAGACATGCATTGAGCTTTAAAGTATTTTGTTAAAAACATCCCGTTTTATTGAGTACAGTTTATTATTATTTAAGGAAAAGGCCATTGACAGCAATTGTACGCACGGTTTTTGAGCCATAATCTGAGCACTCCAGCAAAGTAGGTTGAAGTTAAGTTGGTTAAAATAGCAATCGAGAATAGCACTAAGTGTTGAAATCTATCATCATAAATCTAGTTCTTAACCCCATTAATCATCTTTTTGCTAGTCTCCGATCTTGTTGTAAGAGTTTTATATCCCTCCTGAGCAGAAATAGTGAAATGAAAAAATATTTTTCAAGATAACACATGTTCATTTTGGAATGAATTAGAAACACTTGTAAGATGACAGTATCAAGCTATCTTCACATAAAATAGCATTATAAATGTTTGACTATTTCACCAACATAATCCCCAATGATGTCCAAGCGCTCCACGCACACTGTGCCTAGATCGCCTTCAGTGGGGATGACTGATAAGAAATTATTCTCATGAGATACAATTTGCTCGAGTAGCAC